TTCAAAGCAGGGCTGTGTGACCTTTGAGGACGTGACCATTTACTTCTCCCAGGAGGAGTGGGGACTGCTGGATGAGGCACAGAGACTCCTGTACTGCAATGTGATGGTGGAAAACTTTACGCTCATAGCCTCTCTCGGTAAGGATATCTCACTTGCCTGAGCTCTTCTCTACCTGTCCCCTTTGTATAAGGACAACTCCTTTTCCCATGCCAACAGCATGAACAGTGCCTGTCCCCCGTGTTCCTGTTGTGTGTTGTGGGCTTCAGTGGGTTTCGAAACAGTGCCACATGCAGTGCTTCCCCTTCCTGATCAGCCCCACACTTCTCATCAGAGTCTGGCAGGGAAGGGTGCAGACAGCGGATCCTTGTGGAAAGCCCTGTAGAGCCCACCCTGCTTGTCACCTCTCACCTGTTTGTCCAGACCTCTGACCCTCCTGTGCTTCAGGTTCTGCTCCTTTTGCTAACATGTGCTATACAAGACTGTGAAGAACTACCATGCACTCATGTGGTCACTACCTGCAAACCACTGGACTGTGTCTGCCAGATTTGCTGGGATGTCTAATTTCTAATACTGAGTTTCCTTTCCTGTTGTCTGTTCTGGATTACCTCCCGTGATCATTTTTCCTTTAGGCCTGACATATTTCAAGTGCCATGTTACCAGAGAATGTGGGATAAGGAGAGAACCCTGGGTGCATGACAGAGTGATTATGACTTTAGCCACAGCAAGAGAGGCTTTAGTGGCTTAAGCGCCTGCTTGGCAAGTACAAGGTCATGAGTTTGATCTCCAGGACCACCAAAAATAAAAAATAAAAATATGGAGCCTTAGGCAAGCCCAGCTCTAGTAAGCAGGAGCTGGGGACAGTGTGTCATTACTATGTCCAAACCTACCAACTTCTGTTCTTAACTCTGCCATTCCTTTCCTTCTCTTCAGACTTGCTCATTTGAATCTCTGATCTAACTTTGGCCTTTGGCCCCACCCTTATCATGTCCACATCTCAGTCCCTCTGTGGGAGCTACCATGTCTCAGTACCTCTGTAGCACTCTTCACTGTTGAACTCCATTGCATATGTCTGAGAAGAACATAGTTTCTTGATGTCTCTGAACATTAGTCAGATAGTTGTAGTCAGATCTCCTGGTTCTGGCCATGCCTACCTGCCTCGTGGTCCTTACAGTTTCACAGAAGCCAATGCCATGCTCCACGGCCTTCGTAGAGAAGTGATCTGGGTACCCTGCCTCTCTTCCCAGTATTCCTTTGAGTGGTAGAGACCTACTGTGTTTAGTGGCCTGGAAAATCACAATATGCAGAGAATCAATTCCTTATTCTGAGCTGAGGTTTCTCTTCCTGCTCAGGTTCCCAAGGACTCATTCTGACATCCATAAGAGACTTGTGGTGGGACGGTTTTCTTCTATCAAAGTTTATTTGATTTGACCAGCATTTCTCTGTTTACAGGTTTTTGCTCTAGAACAGAGGTTAAAGTGTTACCTTCTCAGCAGAGAATTTCTGTTCAAGGAATGATACAGGCTGGAAATCCCAAGACAGCCCTGTCTATGCAGAAGGCCTACTCCTCTGACACATGTGGCCTACTCGTGAAAGAGATTTTGTACCTGGATGAAGAGGACGATACACATGCCAGGCTGAAAGCCCATATGTGTGAGGCCAATGGGACAAGGGTCAAGTTCAATGTAAACTTTGCCCAGCAACAGGTACAGAAGCATGAGGATGAGCCTGCCAGAAGGGAGGAGGGCAGGGCCTCTCCTAAAAACACCTGCATAGACCAGGCATCCCAGAAGTCTTTCATATGTGAGGAGAGAAAGGAGGTCTTTGTGACCACAGCAGACTTTGTGCAGTGTTGGATCACTCCCGATGGGGAGGAGGCACACAAGAGTTCTGGAGAAACACTGTACTTTCCCACAGCTCAGTGGCTTGACAAGAGCAGTCAATCTAGTTACACTTTCAGTGACACATTCACACATGTTCACCCTCAGAGAGTCCAGAGAAGAGAGAGGCCCTATGAATGCAGGAAATGTGGGATATTCTTTAGTGATCCCTCCATCTTCATTCAGCATCAGAGAGTTCACAATAGAGGAAAACCCTATGAATGCCCTGAGTGTGGGAGATTGTTTAGCCAACACTCTAGTCTTGTGAGACACCACAGAGTGCACACTGGTGAAAGCCCCCATGTGTGCAGCTACTGTGGGAAGTTCTTTAGCCGAAGTTCCAACCTTGCCCAGCATAAAAGGGTTCACACTGGAGAGAGACCTTTTGAGTGCAGTGAATGTGGGAAATTCTTTAGCCACCTTGCCAGTCTCATTCAACACTATATAGTTCACACAGGGGAACGACCTTTTGGGTGCAGTGCATGTGGGAAAGCCTTCAGCCGAAGCTCTGACCTCATAAAGCATCTGAGAGTTCACACTGGTGAACAGCCTTATGAATGCACTGAATGTGGGAAGTTCTTTAGCCAGAGTTCGAGCCTTAACAGTCATCGGAGACTTCACACTGGTGAACGGCCTTTTCAGTGCAATGAATGTGGGAAAACCTTCAGACAAAGGTTTAATCTGAGGCAGCACCAGATGATTCACAGACCAGACAGGCCTTATCAGTGCAGTGCATGTGGCAAAGCCTTCAACCAAAGGACTAGCCTTATGCGACATCTGAAAATACACACCAGAGAAAGCAATGTAGAGAACGTGCATCCTTCTTTCTCAGCACAGCTGCACACAGCAGAGAAAGGCTGTGACAGTAGTCTTTATGAAGGAGCATCAGCCAGCTGCTGAGCCTCATTCCTTCATGCGGGGAAGATTTCCTATTAGAGCTAGACACAGTGGATGCTTTCGGGAGCTAAGCTCTATTCAGTTTGTCACTAGTACACTTAGGGACAGAAGCCATCTTAGCTTGTCCTAGTCCACAGCCTCTGGAGTGTATCCCCCACTCTACTGTCTCAGGGAAAGCAAACCTGTTTACTTTCCAGTTTCTGAAGGGACTGCGGAGTTCCTGAGGCCATGGAGCTTGTCACTTTTCTCTAACTAGTCTAGCTGTGGACATGACCCATTTTGTCCATGCCGAGCTAAGTGGGTCTGCTGACATCTTACTGTGAATGTTTCCTTTTCAGGGACATTACTCAGTCTACTGTGATGTTTGTGATGGATTTATCCATCTTCTGTGTGACTCCCCAGAACACAGTATACATTGCCCTGGTTTATGTGTTATTTAAGAAAAAAACTTAAAACTAACACCTTCATAGTTGGACCATCAGACTCAGCCTTGACTGACTATGTCAGCTACAAGTCAAGAGATAGTGTGACTCAGCTTTGTCTGACTGCATTGAGCTGCGCTATATCCTACAAACATCCTCCTTTAATAGCCTGTTTCAAGGACTATCTACCCCGAAACTAGCCCGGACTTGACACACCTAGCTAGTCTTACCGGTTTGTGCAGTCCCTAATTTCCCCTAGACTTTCCTAGGTTATAATTAATGATCTCTAACTAAACTTGCCTAAGATCTGCCTAACAAAGTTTGACCAAACATGTAACCAATTTCAGAATAACCCCCTATCTGCTTTTGTGCTTCTTACTTGCAAAATGCATAGGAGTTTGTGTTTTAATCTCAGTTGGGGCTGGTGATTTGGAATTGAGTCCCACTAACATACCCATGTAATAAAAGTTTTGCCTTCGAAGTTCCTCAGTGCCATGTCTTTCTTTTGTCTGGGTTCCAGTTTTTGTAAAATTTCTTGCTGCATTGGCTGGGAAGTCACTGTGTTGACCATTTTGATGACTGGTAGAGGCCCTCTGGTTATAGTGGAGAACCCTTCCATTTCCACACAAAAAGACATGCCCTCCAGAGTTTTTTCAGATTCTCCTCCAGGACCTGAAGTTGAGACCCTTACTCAGAGGTAGAGCCCTTATCAGACTCTAGGAGGACCAGGAACTCAACCATTTCAGGCTCTCTGACAAGATAGGACTGCCACAGGATGTCCTTTTGGTTCCCCTGCACGTGATGAAAGAGGACCTCATCACTCCTTGCCTGTTTCAGGAAGCCCCTCCTGGTCTTCATCTCAGTCCAAAGAAGTGTATATTTGGAATCCCAAAATATGTTACTGGAATCCCATCAAGCTAATTCCAACCTACCAGTTCCAGTGCAACCCATGGCAAGAATAAAGGCACTAGGGCAAATTTATAATTCTGGGGAGTGAAAGGGTCTTAGGTCCAGCCATGGTGATGTCTATCTAGAACAAAGGCCTGGACCCAGGGCCAACCCGGGTTTTATTGAATCATGAAGGAGTGGCTTGAGGATGAATGACTAAGAATGGCAGGAAGTAGGTGAGCACTGTGAGCTGGGCAAGGTAGGAGGCCTGCATTTATTTCTGTGATATGCAGAGAGAAGGACATGCAGAAAAAGTAATTTGCATTATACTATTGAGATAGTATCTAATGTTTTGGGGTCTGGTGCTTCAGCTCTGATGTGTAATCTTTCAAGCCCCAGGAAGTCACAGCCTCTGTCTCGAGGCTCGATCCCAGCTGTCAGCATGGAGCACTGACTCTTCATCCTATCTCAACCTGGCTCATATTAAAGAGCAACAAGTGTGAATTATCAGGGAAACACCTGCCGTCTTCAAAGACTCTCACCAGCAGTGTGGAGAATGAGTACGCCAATTCCAACATAAAACCAAAAGTGGGCCTTGAGATATTGCAAATGAATTCACTTTGTTTTGTTTGTTTTAATAGCATCAGCAAACTTATGCTAATCTTTAATTTGGGTATCAAATACTGGCTAGACCAATATGCACTGCTTACAGCCAATTGAAAGGATAAGGAAAAGTCCTAGCCATCTCCATACCTATCAATGCATGGAAATAGTGTCAGGTACAGCCAAAGTAGAGACAAAATCTCTTCTTTCAAGGAGATTCACCCAGGTGGTCCCCTATAGGTCCCCATTTCTTGCTTTGAAGTTCCAGCAGAGCCAGTCATGACTGTATGGCCTCTAGTTGTTGCAGGGTTGAGAATCTTCCATGACACACTCTAATGAGAAGGATTATAAGCAAGAGAATGTACACACCAACTCCAACATAGAACCAAAAGTGAGCCTTGAGATATGCAAATGAATTCAGTTTGTTTGTTTTAGTAGCATCAGGAAACTTATGCCAACTTTTAATTTGAGTATCAAATGTGGCTGTCGTGACATTGACAGCAATTTTCTCTGAAGATTCTGTATATCCACAGTAGAATTTTGGACTGTTTCTTATATGTTATTTTATCACTTCCCATGAATATAGATTTTTTTATCATATACTAATGGAGTGATACAAAAGTGAGTTATATTATAGTGATATTTTAAAACTTGTAACTGTGAACTTTTAAATTGATCTCCCAACAAAGGATGGAGATTTCTAGAATGTTCACTTGGGTTTTTACCTTTTTTTTTTAGTGGTACCAGGGATTGCACCGGCTATCAAAAGCACCATGGAAGCTATCCCTGCTATAATTAATCCAAGTATTTTCTCTGTCTAATTGATGTCTTTTAGTTAATGTTTCTACCAAGAAAGAATTAAGTGAATAACACCAGAGCTCTGTTATATTCACTGAAAACCAAGCTCCTGACATCCTGCCCATGATCACCACTGTGGAGTCATTGGAAGGATGTTCACGCATGATACAATGGGCCAGATAACAACTAGTACATGAGAACAAGTAATTTGCATTATACTATTGAGAAAGCATCTAATGTTTTGGGGTCTAGTGCTTCAGCTCTGATGTGTAATCTTTCAAGCCCTAGGAAGTCATAGCCTCTGTCTTGAGGCTTGATCCCAGCTGTCAGCATGGAGCACTGGCTCTTCATCCTGTCTTGACCCGGCTCATATTAAAGAGCAGCAGGTGTGAGTTATCAGGAAAATACACCTGCTGTCTTCAAAGACTATGACCAGCAGCACCTCAGCTAGACCAGTATATACTGCTTAAAGCCAGTTGAAGGGATAAGCAAAAGTCCTAGCCATCTCTGTACATATCAATGCATGGAAATAGTGTCAAGCATAGCCAAAATAGAGACAGTTGCTCTTCTTTCAAGGAGAGTTGCCCAGATGGTCTTCTACAACCTGTGTCAAACAGTTTGGGTTATAATTAGATTTTACCCTTTAGTAAACTTTAGATTGGGAGTTGGAATATATTGACCTCTATGCAAACCGAGTGTGAGTGGAAGATGTAAACAATAGGTTGTTCTCTCTGCTCCATGAGAAAAGCTCCCCAAGGGGGCTCAGTTACAGAGCAAGTTTGGGCCCAAACCTAAGGTTTCCCAGACTATTCACACCATGGAAGTACCTTCAGAGTGTCAAGAGGACAAAACAGAACCAACCAATACTTCTCCTTAGTCTGGATGGTCCCAACATTGGCAAGAGCCAAGTAGCCAGGTGGCTACTGAGTGATTTCTCATTCATGAGGGTCACCGACCCTTGTCTGTTGTGACACTTCAAGTGCTCACTGTACACACTGTTCAAGTGTTCACTGTACACACTGTATGTCTCAGGCCAAGACAGAATAGGTGCAAGCCAGAGTAAAATTACCACCCCCTTTAAGATATGCTGAAAGTTTTCAAGAAAGGTTTTTTGGATGACCACGGAGTCAAAATCAATGTCCAGTGATTCCACATCCTGTGAAATTGATTGTCTTCACCTTCCTTCTGCTTCAGCACATGAAGAAACCATAAACGTAGACACTGCTCATCAAGTCTGGAATCAGGTAACTGAACTTGGCCCGAAATCCCATCCTGATCAGTTAGTTCCCCTATATCAATTCCTGCTTGAATCTGTGTCTCAGCCTTCCACCCTGTGTCCATACCTGTGACACTCAAGCAAAAACAACTCTTCTGGATGTCAAAGCTGGTTGACCAGATCAAAAATTACATAGAAAGAGGACCCCCAAAGACAGAAAAGTTTTAGCCCATCCTGCCCAATGACCCTGATGATTTCCCTCCCTCATGTGGCTGACCACCAAAGCCTGCCAGAGTTACCACTCCTGCCCCCAGGGGCGACTCCCGGTCAGCCACCTTCCAGTCTCCAAGAATCTACTGCTCTATGTCCACCAACTGTGCCACCCCAGATGCAATCTAACCCCAACCAGCATGTGAGCCAAGCCCTGTCAACCACAGGCTTTACTCGGCACAGCTCCACATGCCTCTCCAGGGATATCCTGGTGGCTCAGAGGGACCAAATCTGCAACCTTCTGTGTACTATCAGCCCTTTAGTTCCACTGATCTCCCCAGTTGGAAGACAAATGCCCTTTCTGCTTGAAGGATAAAAGGGCTTCTGCAGACCCAAACTCACTGCAGCCTGAACCCCTATTTCTGCTTTTCAACAACAATAGAGAAGACCCAGTTCCATAAGGCCCTGGGCACCCAAGGTCATTGTCAAAATTGGAGGGAAACCAATGGCCTTTATAGTGGACAGTTAGGCCAAACACTCCATTGTCACTCAACCAGTTTCCCCTTGACTTCCTGGGAGAGTCAAGTGATCAGGGCTCTGGCCCCCACACTGAAAAGAAATTCTGTCAAAGCGGATCCTATGAGGTTGGTGGTCATTTCATTAAAGATGAATTCCCGCACATGCCCAAGTGTCCTATTGCACTCATGCGATGAGCCCTTCTCTCAAAGCTGGGAGCAACTATTTCATTTGCTCCTTATCAGGCTGCCACCCTCACACTTGGGTCCCTAACTCCAAACCTGAGATTGATCCTGATGATGACCCTAGAAGAATGGCAGCTCTATCAATTAGAAATGCCTAAAGAATAGAACCCCAAGGTCTTACAAACCATGTTTCAGATGTATGGGCAGAACACTAACAGCCAGGACAACCATCTACCATGCCCCTTTGATAATTAAACTCAAAGCAAGTGCCATCCCCATTGCTGTCAGAAAATAATCGACCCCACAAGAAGCCTGCTTGGACTCTTGCTCCACATCTCCACACTGAGAAAAGCTGAAATCCTAACAGATTGTCAGTCACCCTAGAATATGCCCTGCTCCCAGTAAAAACCCAAATGGAGACTTCTGCCTGGTATACTACCTCTGTGCTGTCAGTGCAGCCCTCAGAACCTTACATCTAACAGTCCCACCCTATACACTGTCCTGGTTTTTTTTTCCTTTTGACGCCACCTGGTTTACATGCCTGGACCTAAAAGGTGCTTTTTTCTGCCTGTGAGTGGCCCCTGTCAGCCAGCTCCTTTTTGCTTTGAATGGGAAGACCCTGTCACAGGGTGAAAGGGACAACCTACATGGACCCGCCTCCCACGAGGCTATAAAAATTCTCCAACTCTGCTCAGAGAGGCTTTGGCAGCCAATGTGGCTAGATTTGCTCAAAGGAAGTTCAACTGCATACTCCTGTGGTACACTGCTGACTTTATTCATTTATTTATTTTTGGTCTTTTTGAGACAGGGTCTTGCACTACAGTTCAGGTTGGCTTTGAGCTCACTTTGTAGTCCAGGTTAGTCTCAAATTTACAGCAGTTGAACTCATGACAATCCTTCCTCAGCCTGCCAGGTGCTGGAATTACCGGCCCTACTGATATCATCTTAATCTGGGCAGCCCCACCAAACAAGACTGTTGAGAAGGAGCACAAGTCCTTGTCTACCACCTACTGGCTGTGGGCTGCAAAGTCTCTTGGAAAAAAGATCAAAACTATAAACAGAAGG